ATGGAGCAGTATCAGACTCATATGCTGCCTAGAATTGAGTCGGACTACGTCAGGCTAGATGTATGCTAGGAAACCAGGTCGTCTGCGTGTGTGTCGCAGGTAACGGAGATTTGCCCCGCCTCTTCTGCAGACACTCTGCTGCACCTCTCCAAAATTGCAGGTGACTGCAGTCAGTGCTGGAGAAAGGAGGCCTTTGATTGATCAAATCTACATCTGCTCTACACTATGCGTATTTCCTGTTTGGTGCCTTACCGGCTTGCTTTGTTTTTATGACAGCCAGTGTGGAAAACAACTTGTGAAGATGGACCAGCAGGAAGAGCGAGGTATGTGAGAACGCTGGGTTTTTTTTTTTTTTTTTTTTTTTGCAACTCACCGCTTGCGTTTTTCTTCTTCCTCACCACTCTGGCCTAGACCCATGGCTAGTTCGTGATTGTCCCTCTTGCGTTGTGGTGTGGAATAACAGCGCAGACCACGATTCAAAATGGCTCACTGCGACACACTGCTGTTCAGTTTTTAAAATAGATTTTCCATTTATTAATATTGCTCTGTTATTCCACACTACGGATCCATGAGGGGTGAAGTTATGACTAAATATCATCTTCCAAAAATTGTAAAACTTCTTTATGAAAATGAGACAGTGAAATGTTAATCTTGCTTAATTTAAAATCACATTTAAGCAAGACATCCAAGCCATCAAGTGTATTAAATATAGATTTAAGGATATGAAACCACATTGAATTGGGATGAGACAAAAAGGTCTTCAGCCAATTTATCCTAAAAGAACCAATCAGAGCCTCAAAATCTAAGGCTCTAATACCACCCTTTATCTTGAACAAGATGTAAACGACGTAGATGGTGAGTTTTATTCCTCTATATAAATTGAAAGATTATTGAATTGGCTTTCCTAATATTTTAGCAGAATGGCATGGATAAATTAATTTAGATACTCCTTCAGCTTTGGATAAAAGAGTTTGTCCAAAAATAGTCAGGTCTCTGGTCAACCAATGACTCAAGGTCAACCAATGACTCAAGGATCTCTTCATGGCATTCAAGCATCTACCAATGTTTTCCTCCTCTCTTCTAATAGCATTTTTGGAAATCAATATTCCCAGATATTTGATTTCAGACTTAACTGCAATAGAGGCAATAGTTGCTCAGAGCTGGAATGGATCGGCAGAAGTTCGCATTTATTAATATTGAGAGACAGACCACACAAAACGCTCTGGAAAACTTTAAAATGGATTTAAGTGCAATGTCTACCATAGTTTTATCACTGACAAAAATTATTGTCATCAGCAAATTGACTTATTTTGAATTCCCTATTAAAAATTTGAATTTTTCTTAATTAGTAATGTAAGCATTTGAGTTGTTAGTATAATAATTTAGGTGAAATCGGGCAGCCCTGCCTGATTCCTCTTCACATGGAGAAACTTGGTGTCATTCCCAAAGAAACTGAACTACTTATATAACTGTAGAATAACTTAATTATATAACATTTTCCCCCATAGCCAAAATATTTTAAGGTTTTAATTATACAGCAATGTTCCAGTGAGTCAAAGGCCTTAACCCTTTAAAGCCTGATCCAAGAATAAAACAAAACAGAAAATTCCTTTTTTTTTTGTTTGAATTCCTTATTTGCCCTTTTAACAAAATATGTAAAAAGAAAAAACAGAAATACAATTTTGATATTAATAATTTATTACTATGCGTTAAGTCAAGATTATTTTTTGTGTAGTCTTCTACTGGCTGTTGTCAGGTATATCTGATTGTGTACAATAGGATTTTGAGCAAAGTTTTTACCATTAAATTATGCAAAAGGTGTCAGATGCAAAACATTTCAGAAACCGTATGTATCAAATATGATACATTTGGCATTACAGGGTTAAAAGAAATCCAGGAATTAAAAAAAAAAAAAAACTGTCACGATCGATCATATCAAAAATCAGTCTAGTATGATGATGGATATTTCTTCCCTTTAGAAAAGCTGACTGGCATTTATTAATAATCGTTCCTAATCCACTATTTAAGCGATTGGCATAAACTAGAGCTAAAATTTTGTAATCTGTACATAAAAGAGTGATGGGTCTCCAATTGTTTAAAGATAAAGGGTCTTTTTTAGCTTTGGGGATCAGAGTAATCAGACCTCGTTTCATGGTGGGAGAGAGATTATTGTTTGAAATACATTCCAGCAGGGCCTCAAATAAAAGTTTTCGTAAATCTTTCCAAAAGAAAGTATAAAATTCAGTGGTTAACCCATCAAGGCCTGGAGATTTCCCTTTTGCCATTTGTTGTATTGCTTCGTCAAGCTCTTCGATTCTTAGGTCATCTTCCATAAGATTTTAAAAATCAAGATACATTTTTTTCAACGGATTTCATCGAAAAAAGACTTTGGGGCAATTGGATTCTGAATACTTGGAACAATAAAGAAGCTCTATAAAAATGTAATTGTTGCATGTATTAAATCCAGGTCTTCAGTAACACTACCATTAATAAGTTTCTCAATCTTCTCTGCTTCTCGGGACTGAAAAAATATGAAGAGTTCTTTTCACAGTCTTCAGCCTTGCTCTTGAGAGAATGAAGCAAGGGGGGCTTGCTTTATCTATAAAAACATCATCTAGTTGAGATTTGAAAACATCAAATTGGTCAAGCTTTGTGAGAGAAACTACTAGGGTTGTCAAAAGTATCGATACTCAAAAAAGTATCGATACTGAAATGTTGTATCGGGATACAATACTCATTTTCAAAAGTATCGAGTACCAGTGGCACCTAAACAGTCATTCATCTAAAGTGCAGAATAGAGGACAATGCACTTTCTGAACACTGTGATTGAATATTTTTTTTGTAACAGGTGCAGCTGCTGAGAATTATTTTTGTTTCTTAACCGGTTTGGCTAGTGTCATTGTTATGTGTGCAAAGCATAGCCAAGTAAGGAAAACTTAATTTTAATTTTGTAAGTTTTTTATCAAGCTTGCTTAATACTGTGCACAGCAAACAACCTCAAAATGTTGTTCTTATTGTTTATTGTATTTATTTATTTATTGTATTTTAATTATTAATCAAAATATTTCTGTTGAAATTTTATCCTTGTGGTATCGAAAATGGTATCGAGTATCGAATATTTTCCATAGTATCGGTATCGAGTTGAAAAGTTTAGTATCGTGACAACCCTAGAAACTACAGAGATGAGTGTTCATTTAACCAGAGGTGGGTAGAATACCAAAGCATTGCAAATCTAACTAGTTACTAGCCACCACTGCATTTCACCCATTTTAAGCAGGTTCTAAGGAGTTTATACACACGTTATTACGTTTTTGCTGCAATGTTCTAAATTCCAAAGTTTTTTTTTTGTAATCTAATAGCATGTTGTTACATTTAGGTGTTTTTTCATTTATCTTTTTACTCAAACCCCCGGAGATTGTTCATAACTGCCCTTTTTTTCTGTATATTGTCTCCTTGTATGTCAAAAGTATTATTCCACTAAAGTTTTTTTTAAATGTTCTAATAAAGTTATTTCTGTATCAACGGACATTGCTTCTATACAAACATATTCAAACGGAAGGTTTTATTTACAGCACTTGAAAAAGCGAAGGAAAACAGATATTTTCCTGAGAGGTTGAACCAAGTGATGGATCAGTTTGGAAGTTTTTTTTTCCAGGTCAATTATCATTTTCACAAAACAAAACAAAAGAGGAGAAAAGCAGTCTAACTGCTGGCCAGCAGTGTTGTCCGTAAGGCATTACGGTAATATTACACGCTCGACAGTAACCATGTAATATAACTAGTTACAAATAACCGCAAACACCCCGATAGAGTGTTATCTTGTCAGCAAAATCTATGTTCAGTGACAAGGAAAAACACAATGATGTAGTCCTGATCTTAAGTTATATTTCATTTCCCAATAACAGTATAAAATATTATGTTTTATTCCATGGAAATGTGGCTTTTTTTTCATCTTAGTTTTCTTGTATTATAAACAAGAAACATCAAATCTACATAGTTAATAAAAAACTCACTTGTCCAATCACACACACCAAAAAAAAATTGTCGATTAGTTTACAATGTTTTTGTTTGTGTATATCTTTAAATCTGTTATTCAATTAATAATAAGCACCTTATATTCCACAATCGTCCTTACTCTCCAGGGAAAACTGTCGACTTGTTTTCTCTCCTGTCCATCTTTCCTCTCAGGGGGACAGAAGGGAAGCTGAAGGGAAACTGATTTCTGCTGAAATCTTTCCAGCTATCTTCCATATCCAGAATTCCTCCCTCCTGTGTGCCTGGAGCTATCTGATGGTCATTATTGAAGTGGGTGAGATGGTCTTCAGGTTGAACAGAAAATATTTCCTAAGACCTGTTTTTAAGTCCTTTCCCAACCTGATTAGTATTCTCACTTCAACCTTTCAGGGCAGTAGAGGACCCTCTGCCCGCTGGCTTTGGTCGGTACTCTGAAGCCCGTCTGCTTGCTCTTTTGAAGCCCACAGCTGCTGCAGATGTTGGCTCTGACTTTAACAGTCACTCCCTCCTTCGCTGCTGCAGCTCTGTGTGGCTCCAAGCTGTGGACTTCGAGGTGATGTGGACCGTGGTGAAAAGGCATCCTGTGAGGAGAGCAGCTGAGGGGGCTCTCCTCTCTGTGTCTGGTGCCTGGAGATTCCTGAAGACCAAGGAGGTGTCAGCATCCATGAGGGTGGTCCTCTCTACCTATATTTGAACACCATTCTCTCCCTCTCACTCTACAAACTGTTCAGGAGGGATATTGTCAGGCTTTGGAATAAATACAGCATTCTGGGGAGAATATTTAACCTTACTGATTCAAACCTACAATTTAAATCCAAAAAGAGGATAGTGTTCCTTCTGTGTGTCTTCTTCTAGTATTGTATTCAACGGCTCATAATGTTTTTAAACTATTGGGTTAAATTTTGATGTATTTTCACACTTAAACAACTGATGTTGTCTGCTATGGAATTCCATTTATGACACTGACCAATTTCTTCTGGTGGGTCGTAATTAAGAGTCAGCATCTGGGTCTTGTTCACATATATCATGTAACCTGAAAAAGAACCATAGGTTATCAGCAACTTAACAGCAACTAGAATATGAACTTAGTGACATTGGAGCAGAAGGTCAGCATCACCATCTGTGCTCCTTTTAAGGTTTACAACCGTGTCCACTCTTTTCACAGTGTGAGCTCCAGACTGTTGTGGCTCCACCAGGTCACCAGACGATTGTTGGTGTCCAGGATGCAGACAGTTCTCCCAGCTTCCTTTCTGTGATAAACCTGCAGGTGGAGACTGGCTCGTTCAGCAGGAGAGGCGTTTATCTAGCAACCAGTAGGTGGAAAAACTGAAAAAAGTTGTCTCCTTTTCTCCAGAGAGATGAGGAAGAGAAGGCTGCCCCATCAGCTGACAGCTGCAGAGGCCAACTGGCTCAAAAAATACCTGACTTTTGAAATTTGGATAAACTTGTAGACATTGAAGTTTAAAATGATCTAAAGCTATCTATATGCTGATTCTAGTAATTCCAAAAAGAATAACCCAACAAAAACAAAGACATGTTTGTTGGCTGCCTTTGAAGGATCCGTGGCTTTAGACAGGCCCTGCCCCTCGCTGTGATGTAATCAGAGATGCCGCCTTTGAAGGAGGGAGAATCTGAATCTTCTGTAGGTGGGGTGGCAGTGGCTCTCAAATACTGTGCAGGTACCCCCTCACAGTTGGTCTTGTATAATCGCTTACCTTTTTATCATTAATGCAGATCCAAATATGAACATATGCAGGTTTATTTGTTCAATAAAGCTATAGATAGTAATCAGAAACTTTTTGTTATATTCTGTGAAATGGTCCTTCCATCCTGAGTGGTCAATACTTTATATATTCTGAAAAAGGAAAAAAAATATCAGGTGTCGGTGAGAGCTGCAAGCCTGAAAAACTGACCAATTCCCGCCGTTTGATCCGAATGGAAAAGCTTTCATCTCTGTCCCTCCTCCACATGCACTCATCAGTTTTGGCTGAATTGTTCACAGCACCCCTTTGTTAAACTCGTGAGGCAAGTATTGCTAAATATAACTTGCTAAACCTAACATGCTAGGTTGAAAGCCTCAGTGATATAGTTTATTCACAGGTGAATGAGACATAAGGTAGATCAGCTGAAGTTCAAAATGTATTTAAAGAAATAGTTGACTTGGCTCCTCTGCTTTTCCCAGTCCTGTGAGATGCATGTTTCAAGATTGAGGGAGCAGGACGGAGCTTTGAACGGAGGAGGTAGGGGTGTGCAGATTTCAAATCAAACTACCTCCCCAACATAACCAACCATAGCTTTAAAACCAAATGCTTTGGTTTGTCCCACAAAGTGTTGATTGATTCTAAGAAAGAACAAAAAGCTTAAAGGCAAAAAAGGAAACTTTTATTCATGAGATGTTCCATTCAAATGCTTTCAGTTCCAATCAATGACTTTAAAAACACGTTTTTACTGATCAAATTATCCAAAAATTACAGAGCAGTCCTTACATCCCTCCTTTGTCATTCATTTTCTTCATCCACTCCTCCACAGCCTGACCCTCAAAGGCAGCACAGTAGGACACCCCCCTGATCCTGGAGTGTCCAGTGTCCAGTCTTTTAGGCTGCCCACACTTCTTGCAAATATATTGCTTATTCCTCATTGGTAAGTGACCACCTGGTGCTGCCTTCCTCTTCCTGTAGGCTGTTGATCTGGGAACGACTGGAAGACCAGGCAGCGGCTGAATATTGGCGCTCAGGTGTAAGGTAGCAGGCAGCTGCACCTGGTGTGGTATTGGTTGAAGAGTAGGGAGACCCCTGCTGGACGGGCCTGGCTCCACATCAGAGACGTCGCTAATATAGGGCTGTCCATGCCCCACCAGCACTAAGAGCACCTCCTCTTCAGGGAGCTGGGCCTGTTGGATAGCAGCTGGGGGAGAGACCACTGCTGGTCTTGGCTTCAGAACAGGCCTGGCCCACCTCTTCTGCCGACCAATGAACCTGCAGACAGACATCAGACCCACAAACTCTGAAGAACATGTTCAGTGGATGAAAAGACTCCAGGTCAGTTGCACAGCTCTCACCACTTGGAAATATTCCTCTGATTCAATGGGAACAGCTGGATGGTGGTTTCTGCCATCAGCCTTGGGCTCCCCAGCACCATCTCCCTTATCGACACATAGTCTGCAAGGATGAGGGACCAGCGGGTCCTTAAGATCCCCTTGACCCGCGTGGCTGAGGGATGCACACGACAAAGCTGGCTGCAGGTGGCCTCCACCAGGCGGCTGGATTCAGGCCTGTTTGGCTGGGTCCTGTTCACTTTCATTGAACAGCTAGAAGGCATGAAAGAAGGAATGGTGTTTTTTTTTTTTTAAAGAGGCAGATGTTAGAGGAGAAAAAAAAGTTTCTGTAAATCCACCTGACTGCTGGAGGCTCTCTGCTTGGCCAGGTGGTGGTCTTTCCTTCCACCTGCCTCTGCTTGTCTGCGTCTGGAAGACGCTGCCAGAGTGAGATTAGCATGTCCACCTTGGAATCTCTGAGCCCGTTCAGGCTTCTGGCCTCCACCAGGGCCTTAGCCAGGTTCAGGACGTGCTGGTATCCTGGCTGACCATCGGGACCTATGACCTCTTCCTGGAAACAAATGTAGAGAATAAAGACTGGAGTGAGGAAGAGAACCAGACTGATCATCCAAAGCTTAAAGAAGGTTTGCTCTGAGAAGATGTTTCAGATCTTATTGGTTCACCTCAATGTCTGACGGTGGCTCTCGAGGAGGAGCCTGGCTTCCAGATCCTTTGGCAGAGTCGAGGGGAGACCGATACCTAGGTTCATCAGATCCTGTTTGAGATGCTGCCAATAATAAAGAAGGATCTGGTGGGAAGAAGGGACCGCGGAAGGTGTCCAGGAGGTTCTGGATGAGGAGGGCTGTTTGCTCTGCCCCACGCGTCCTGTGGCGACAGTGCAGCCTCCACTCCTCCTTGGAGATCCTCTGGATGACCTCTGCGTCGCTCAGGTCGAACATCCCGTGCTCCCTCCCCAGCTCCGATCGCTTGGCCTCTTTGAGACGGCGGGCATCTTCAGGGTCCACCTCGAAGATGCAGAGAGACAGCTGCCTCATGAAGGTGGGGTATAGCTCATGGCTCTCTGTCGTGACACCACCTGCGATACATCGCATGTAGTGCCAGATGTCCAGACGGACCACGAGGTTCCCCCACTCCTACCCGACAGAAATCAGGGTGAGTTAGATGAGGCTACAGGAGTATTAAAAGCTTCAATCATTTCAGCTCTCACATGAAACAAGGCAGCTGTCTTTGACACGCCGTCTCTGCTGCAGCAGTCCCGGTCGACGTAGACCACAAGTGGTGGAGGTTTGTCAGCGAGTCGGTACCGCTTCATCAATCCAGCTGCCATGGTGCTCAGGCCCTCGGACCCCTCAGAGCAGGTGAGGACGCTCATGAGGACCTGGCCATGCTCGTTACCTACGCTGGTGATCCAGGTGTCTGCATTGGAGGTGGCACTGGCGAGCTTCTTTGACACCTGAACAGAGTTTGAGTGAGGAACAGAGGAAGCAACATTTACAAACACCTACATTCAACTGACAGTTTCACACCTCTTTGCTGGAATATATCTTCAAAATGGTTCCAAAGGTGGAAGTGATCAGCGCCTTGTACTCTTCCAGTCGCATAACCATGTCGTAGCCGTAGACCGTCAGAAGGCAGGCTGGAGACGGTACAGGTGGCATGGGCGGTGGTGGTGCAAACGCCCCCGAGACAGAGCTAAAGAACTGCTCGCACACACCGAGGTAGTGTAAGGATCTACGCATCCAGGAATCTGAGTGCAGCTCCCTCAGGTTGTTGTAGAGCTGCTTCGCACTGTTGCCCAGAGGACCAGACCTCAGCTGTCCAACCACCCTCAAGTCACAAGACAGCCTGCAGGGATCAAACATAGTCTGAATATTAAACACTTCAATCAACAATTAAATAAACATGAAACAAAGTAAATGTATCAATGAAGGCAGTGATTCAATGATGCGATAAGACAAATATATGATAATTAGCGTATTCATTCATTTTCGTATTAATTACCTTGTGTATTTTTTTCTGTTCCTTTCATATTTTAGTAGTATGTTCCTGTATTAAACCAAGTTATTGGTGAGGTACTTAACCCTTTAAGGCCTGATCCAAGAATAAAACAAAACAGAAAATAACTTTTTTTTGTTTGAAGTCCTTATTTGGCCTTTTAACAAAATATGTAAAAAGAAAAAACAGAAATACATTTTTGATATTAATAATTTATTACTATGCGATAAGTCGAGATTATTTTTTGTGTAGTCTTCTGCCCTCTGTTATCAGGTATATCTGATTGTGTACAATAGGATTTTGAGCAAAGTTTTTACCATTAAATTATGCAAAAGGTGTCAGACGCAAAACATTTCAGAAACCGTATGTATCAAATATGATACATTTGGCATTACAGGGTTAATGGTACACCTTATTACATTTGTTTATTTACTTTTTAGTTTATTTTGTCCCTAGTGGGCTTCCATACCAGTGTAGATATAAACTGTAACGTCCAGGTGCTTCAGACTTTTTGCTCTCATCAAGTTCACCAGGAAGAACCACCGTCATCAAAGGTTGTGTCTTACTTGTAAGTGAGCACAGCAGGAAACTGGCAGCTGTAGGTGGGGGACAGCTGCCTGATGATGCCCTGTGACCATCCCGCGACCTTCTTTTTACATTGACGGCACTCCAGGTACTCGGTGGCCATGAGGTACCAGCCGTCAATGTCCAGGACCCTCCGGATGGTCCTTTAGAGCCCAGCCTTCGCCATGGACCCGGTGCACGAAGGCTGGGGGCACGTCAGCTGCAGACGCCAGATCCTGTGGGGCATCCACAGGAACAGCCGACATGCAAAGAAGGGCTCAGGGGATGCGGGAGGCTGGTGGTAGACCGGCTGGGGCTGTGGAGGGAACCACCACAGGTTGAGGTCTGTAGTGAGGCGAGGCCTCCCCAGGTGGTCCCTGATGAACAGCGTCTGGCTGATCCACTCCTGCTGCTCTGCCTTAAGCGCTGCCCTCCAGGTTTGAGGCAGCATCTGCAGAAAGGCAGAAAGGCCACACTCAGACCTCTGACTGAGCCTGTTACAGAGACCTGTTTGACATTTGCTCTCCACTCACTTCAGCTGGTTCTGGAAGCTGAGCGTGGGCTCCATGTTCAGCCATGGCCTCCAAACACTCCTGATTTGACCGCTCGCTCTGAAGCAGGTCACCAGCAGGACCTGCCTGAGCACCTGAGGCCCAAAAGACATCTTTCAGTAACAATGCATGGGAAAAAAGGATTGCAAGCAAACAGCAAAGCTGTTGAGCACTTGAAGTAAAGGAATAAAGCAAGAGAGCACAGGTAGCAGAATAGTTTCTCAGAATTAAGAGGGAAATTAACCTCTTAACATCCACCGCATTTTGGGTAATCCTCTCCTATCTTGCATACCCAAATGGAAAAGCAAATAACTTAGGAACTGTAAGCCCGAATTACATGTGCAATACATTATTTGAAAGCTAACACCATCTAGTTCCCAATTTATAAAATTGGGTGACTAGAACACAGACCAACCTGCATCAGTTCAAAAATGAATCGAAATTGTTGTTTTTTTTTTCTTCTCAGAAATGATAGCAATTTGTTGAAATGATAGTCACCAGCACCCCTCGCAACCCCAATTGGGACAACCGTATCAGATAATGGATGGATGATTTGTATTTGTGTGAACAGGGTAGACAATACAATCCCTTTGAACATAAATCTGCTTTGACCCAACAGGAAAGCTTCCTTCTTCTGGTATATATATATATATATATATATATATATATATATATATATATCTATTAGGGTTGTCAAAAGTATCGAAACTCAAAAAAGTATCGATACCAAAATGTTGTATCCGGATACAATACTCATTTTTAAAAGTATCGATACAGTGCCACCACCAGTAGCACCTAAGCAGTCATTCATCTAAAGTGCAGAATAGAGGACAA